TTGGTTGGCTGGTTATCCCATACAGACTCAAGTAGTTGGGGTATGACAACTAGGTGCTTGTCACAGGGACACGGTTTGCGGAAAAGTTAAGCAGACTGTAGGGAAAACTAAATCTGGGATGAATGTGTGGATTGTGATAGGAGATGTAAGAGCCCCCAATAAAAGTATTTAATAGAAAAGAATACTAAATCCAGAGCCATATTGACTTTAATATTGGGTTGGCTCCATTTGTTTGTTTGTTTGAAGGCACAGGATGGTGAAGTAAGGCCCGCGGCTCCTTTTCATTTCATTTCTTACTGAGTATTTCCGCATATTGGAGCAAGGGTGTGGCAAGGATTCTTTCTTTCTCTAGGAACTTTTACAAAACCATCTTAAATCACTTCTTTAAAAGATGATGTTTTAGAGTGCTTGGGAGAGAGGAGTACAGACAATCAAAGGCATAAATCTGACCTGAACTGTTAAAACTTTGTCAGCAGACCCCCCCTGTGATGAGAGCTGGACCTGATTTGTTTTTTTCTTTATTTTTGGTGTATCTTGTTTTCTTCGGTTTTTGTTTGTTCATATTAGAGTGTATCTCAGAGGTGGTGTTCTATCAATAGAGGTCACCCTCTTGAAGCTGTGTTACATACTTTTCCGTTTTTTCAGTAAGAAACCCAGGATCGATGACCCTAGAGGGACAGTAAGAATAGGGAGTTTGGCGGGAGGGGGTACAGTGGTTGGCGGTGGGTAAAAGAGAGACGATGTCAAGGAGTCCGTGTAGAAAAAGAATGCGTGGAAACTGATGGTGGTAGCGATTGTACATTCTACTTGTCGTGATTGAAATTTGGAATGATATGACATATATATTAAATCCCAACTAAAGAATAAAAAAGATGATGTTTTTTGAAAGTAGGATCATACTCATTGTGCACTTTGACTCCTTTGCCCCTTCTCCTGCCTTTAGCTTCTGTGGCAGTAAATGGAACTAAGAGAGTTAATAATGGCAACACAGCTTCAGAGGACTCTCCTTCTGCCAAGAAAACTCGAAGAGGCCCGAAGCAAGGGGCGAAAAAGGAGCCGGAGGCCAAAGGAGAGGCTACCAGTTTCGACAACACAGAAGACAAGCAAGGTCAGCTTCCCATCTAGGCCAGGGAGGACAAGGGCAGCACAGAGTCTCTGGGGAAGGAGAGTATATGTTGTTCTCTCAACTCATATTTTTTGAGGATATAATTAATTTCTCCAGTTTTATTTTTCTGAGAAGAGTTCGTAGTGTAGGGAGACAATCAGGGTTGCTTGTGACGGACAAAACTGATTATTGACGGACCTCTAGCTAACTAGGAGTGCATTCTGGGTGGTGCAAATGGTTGATGTGGCCAGCTATTAACCAAGTGGCTTTTGAGTTTGAGTTCAGAGGTGCCCCAGAAGAAAAGCCTGGTGGTCTTCTTCAGAAAAATCAACCACTGAAAACCCTGTAGGGTTGACAGGAATCAGAGTCCGATTTTTGTTTTTCCTGTTTAACCCTGTCAGCTACACTTCATTCCCTTCCAAGTGG